TGAGCAAGTGTATTGACGAGGGTGAAAGACGGAGTGTGGACGAGGTAGAGTGTAGTGCGGAGTTGCTAGAGGGGGAGGGGAGGACGATGAGGTACTCGGGGACATTATTGTAGAGGGGACGGGTCGGAGGGCGAGGAGAGTGGAGGAGGGTGGTGTGTTCGTCGCGACGCGGACAAAAATAGTCCGGGGCGGAAAGGCACGGGGCGGGGGTCCACTGGGGCGCTGGGGGCAGGGGACGCGGAGGGGAGGGGGGGAGGTGGTGTGCGTTCGCGACGGGAATAAAATAGTCGGGGCAGAGGGCCACGGGGCGGGCGCCCACTGGGGGGCCGGGGACACGGGGGGAGGGGGGGAGGTGGTGTGCGTCGCGACGCGGAATAGAATGCTCGCGGCGGAGGGGGCACGGGGCGGAAATCCCACTGGAGCGCAGGGGACGCGGGACGGTTCGGGGCAGAGGGCCACGGGGCGGGGGTCCCACTGTGGCGCTGCGGACGCGGCGGGGGGGGAGGTGGTGTGCGTCGCGACGCGGAGAGCTGTCGGGGCGGAGGGGGCAGTGGGCTGGCTTCGGGCCGACTGGGGCGCTGGGGACGCGGGGGGGATGGGGGGGGGGTGGTGTGCGTCGCGACGTGGGGGGAAATGTTCGTGGCGGGGGGGGCGGTGGGCGGGGTTCCTACTGGAGCGCTGGGGACGCAGGGGGGGCTCGGGGTGACTGGGCTGGGTTCCTACCAGGGCGCTGGGGACGCGGGGGCGTCGCGACGCGGAATAAAATAGTCGGGGCGGAAGGGGCACTAGGCGGGGCTTGGGGCAGAGGGCCACAGGGCGGGGGTCCCACTGGGGCGCTGGGGGCGGGGAGGGGGGGCGTGCGTCGCGATGCTGAATAAAATTGTCGGGGCGGAGGGGGGACGGAGCGGAGCCCCCACTGGGGCGCTGGGGACGCGGTGAGGGAGGTGGGGGGGAGGTGGTGTTCGTCGCGACGCGGAATAAAGCGCTCGTGGCGGGGAGCAGTGTGCGGTGCTCCCTCTGGGGCGCTGGGGACGCGGAGGGGCTCGGGGCAGAGAGCCACGGGGCGGGGGTCCCACTCTGGCTCTGGGGACGCGGGGGGGGGGGGATCGGGGGTCCCACTGGGGCGCTGGGAACGCTGGGGGGAGGGGGACAGGTGGCGTGCGTCGCGACGCGGAGTAAATTGTCGGGGCGGAGGAAGGCACGAGGCGGAGTTCCCACTGGGGCGCTCGGGACGCGGTGAGGAAGGTGGGGGAGGTGGTGTGCGTCGCGACGCGGTATGAAGCGTTCGTGGCGGAGGAGGCAATGGTCGGGGTTCCCAGTGGGGCGCTGGGGACGCGGAGGGAATCGGGGCAGAGGGCCACGGGGCGGGGGTCCCACTGTGGCACAGGGGACGCGGGGGGAGGGGTGGGGGAGGTAGTGTGCGTCGCGACGCGGAATAAAGTTGTCGGGGCGGAGAGGGCAGTGGGCGGGGGGGGCGATTGGGCGCTGGGGACGCGGGGGGAAAGGTGGGGGAGGCGGTGTGCATCGCGACGCGGAATAACTGGGGGAGGGGAGGTCGTGATGTGGTGCGTGAGGAGGGGGAGGTGGGTGTGCGTCGCGACGCGGAATAAAGTGGTCGGAGCTCTACACACCTGTGCAAGAGAATAAAGTTGTCGGAGCTCTAGACACCCCGTACAAGAGAATCAAGGAGTCGGGTCGGAGGGGTGTGCCGTGTCGAAATAAAGGGGTCGGGGCGGATGGGCGCGCTGGCTTGTGAGTGGGTGGGTGGGGGGGGCTAATCAAAGGGTCGGGGCGGAGGGGCGCGCTGGCTGGTGCGCGGGGGAGATGCGGAGGGGGCGCGCGGGGAGGGAGTGGGGGCCGTGCCGAGATACAAGGGGTCGCAGGGCGGAGGGGGCGCGCTGGCTGGCGGGTGGGGGGAGGATGCGGGGGCGGTGTGCCGTGCCGAAATTAAAAGGGTCGGGGCGGAGGGGGTGCCGTTCCGAAATGAAGGGGTCGGGGCGGAGGGGGGCGCGCTGGCTGGTGGGTGGGGGGATGCGGAGGGGTGTGCCGTGCCGAAATAAAAAGAAAGGGTCGGGGCAGAGGGGCGTGCCGTGCCTAAATAATGGTGTCGGGCGGGGGGGCGCGCTGGCTGGTGGCTGGGGGGGATGCGGAAGGGGGGTGTGCCGCGCCGAAATAAAGGCGTCGTGGCGGAGGGGCGTGCCGTGTCGAAATACAAGGGGTCGGAGCGGAGGGGGCGCGCGTGGGGGGGGGGGTGGAGCGTGCCGAAAAAAAGGTCGGGCGGAGGGGGTGCGCTGGCTGGTGGGTGGGGGGATGCAGGGGTGCCGTGCCGAAACAAATGGGTCGGGGCGGGGGGGCGCGCTGGCTGGTGGGTGGGGGCATGCGGAGGGGGTGTGCCGTGCCGAAATTAAAAAGGTCGGGGCGGAGGGGGTGCCGTTCCGAAATGAAGGGGTCGAAACGGAGGGGCGCGCTGGCTGGCGGGTGGGTGGGGATGCGGAGGGGGTGTGCCGTGCCGAAATAAAGGGGTCGGGGCGGAGGGGTGTGCCGTGCCGAAATAAAGGGGTCGGGGCGGAGGGGGCGCGCGGGGAGGGGGGCGCCCTGCCAAAATGAACGGGTCGGGGCGAAGGGGGCGCGCTTCGCGGCGGAGGGGCGCGCTGGCTAAGGTGGGGGGGACGCGGAGGCGGTGTGCCGTGCCGAAATAAAAGGGGTCGGCAGAGGGGTGCCGTGCCGAAATAAAAAAAAGGGTTGGGGCGGAGGGCGCGCTGGCTGGTGGGTGGGGGGATGCGGGGCGGCGTGCCGTGCCGGAAAAAAAGTGCCGGGGCAGAGAGGTGTGCCGTTCCGAAATAAAGATGTCGGGGCGGAGGGCGCACTGGCTGGTGGGTGGGGGGGATGCGGATGGGGTGTGCCGTGCCGAAATACAAGGGGTCGGAACTGAGGGGTGTGCCGTGCCGAAATCAAAGGGGTCGGGCCAGAGGGGCGCGCCGGCTGGTGGGTGGGGGTGGATGCGGAGGGGGTGCGGAGGGGGTGTGCCGTGCCGAAATAAAAAGGGGTCGGGGCGGAGGGGCGTGCCGCGCCGAGAGAAAAAGGGTCGGGGGGCGGAGGGGCGCGCTGGCTGGTGAAATGTGCGGGCGATGGAGGGGGTGCCGTGCCGAAATAGAGGGCGTCGGAGCTCCAGGCACCCTGTGCAAGAGAATAACACACACACACACACACACACACACACACACACACACATACACACACCTTCACGCAAGCCTCGGGCGCGCGTGGGGGCGGCCTCTCCCCGCCCGCGCCTCGGCTGCCCCTGACTGCCCACCAAGACGACCCCGACCCAGCCCGCAGGCCCGGAGTTCGGGTTTGGGGGGGGGTACGGGTTCCAGAACTGCTTTCACAGTGTCCTCCGACGCCCCCCCCTGAACCGGCCATCGCTCGGACGTCCATTCCCTGTGTTTTTGTTCGGTTTCGTGCGTGGTTTTTTCGCGAAATGATGAAGGATGCTCCTCGGTGGTCCTCGCCGACGGAAAAAAGTCCACACGTCCGAGCGATGCCAAGCTGGAAAGGGAGGGCAAACTGAGGCCGCCGGTTTGGGCTGGGGTGGCCTTGGCCCAGGAACCCAGGAAAAGGCACTTGGGATGCGCCAGCGGGGAGCCCAGGAAAGAGACCTTGGAGGTGCCTGCGGGCGGGCGCCTGGGGGAAGCACTTGTGCAGTGCCTGCGGGCTGCTCAGGAAAGGCACTTGGGAGGCGTCTGGCCGCAGCGTGTCCGTGGCCATGGCCTGGTGGGTGGTGAGCCCCACGGCCCACGTGCGACGCCGCCCTCCCGCCCTGCTGCCCCGCCCCGGGAGCAGGCCGAGCTCGGGGCCACCTCGGATCGGCACACCTCGGGGAGCTCCCGGAGCCGGCGGGCCCGCAGGACGTGCATCGGGCGCCGCGGCCGTCTGCCGTCCCAGGGCGTTCCTCCTCCTCCTCCTCCTCCTCCTCCTCCTCCTCCTCCTCCTCCTCCTCCTCCGCCATTCCTTTTCCTTATGAATAATTTCTCCCTGTCGCATCCCGAGGCAAGTTTTAGGGCGGGCCGGGCGTTTCGCCTGAGACGTCCTCACCATTTGTGACCCTGAAGCTTAAAGTTGGCAACAGTTTCACAGGTGGAGGGCGGGTGGTTTTCAAATAGCGCCGCGCACATTTGTATTAAACACATTGCTAGAGCTTCACGGATTGAGGGCAATTCCTTTTCAAGATGTGGCTCTCGCCTTAGCGCCGCGCACGATTGGTTTCAAAAATTGCATACATGTCACGGACTCCCATGGAAAACGTACCAAAAAAGGCGTTGGGCAAATTCAGGATTATACGGATGCAACAGTTATGTTGATTCGCGGTGTTGAAGTCCCAAGAATGGCGTTCTGGTACGATTCTGGATCGTGAAGACGCAACAGCCAGGTTGATCCGTGGCGTTGGAGTCCCGAGAATAATGCGTTGGCATGCTTCAAGATCTTCAAACGGTTGTCTTCCAACGAGGTAGTTCCCGCAATGAAAATGACTCCTTGTAGGGGCCAATGAAGAGGGAGCTTGGAGGGAGGGCTTATTCCAACATCGTTGTTGACTCTTGGGTTCACACTTGTCCTCCTCCTCCAACTCCTCCTCCTCCTCCTCCTCCTCTCCTCCTCCTCCTCCTCCTCCTCTCCTCCTCCTCCTCCTCTCCTCCTCCCTCCTCGCCTCCTCCGCCTCCTCCTCTCCTCCGCCTCCTCCTCCTCCGCCTCTCCTCCCGCCTTCTCCTCCTCGTCCTCCTCTTCCTCCTCCTCCTCCTCCTCCTCCTCCTCCTCCTCCTCCTCCTCCTCCTCCTCCTCCTCCTCCTCCTGCTCCTCCGCCACCTCCTCCCGGAACGCTCTGAGAGCGCTCCGGAGTGCTCTGGAGCGACTCGTCCCGATCCTTGGCCGCCTGCCCGGCGTCGCCTCCCCCCTTCGCACCTGGTCCCGCTCGTCGCTCCTCCTCGCCCCCCTCGCGGCGGATCCTTGAACGAGTACGCGGCCTGAGGGCCCGTGAGCGGTGGCCGGAACCCAAGCACGCCGACGACGAACTCCTGCGGGCTCTGGGGAGGAGGAACGGCACCAGCGGTTGGGGTGAATGGAACAGGAGGGCGGGAAAGGCCGAGGGAGGGGAGTTGGAGGAAGAGGAGAGAGAGAGAGAGAGAGAGGAGAGGGGGAAGAGAAGCATGGGGAGAACAAGGAAGGAGGAGAGAGGAGTGCGACAGAGAAGAGGATGCAAGGGATAGAGGAACGGACAACGGCATAAACATAAGATCTCGGAGGTCCGCGCGGACTTCTTGGATCGGCGCTGGACCCCCGCCTCCCTGGCGCGCGGAGCGCGCCAGTGGCGGCGCAGGAGGCGCCACCAGGGGGGCCAGCGCAGATCCGAGCCGACCTCCGAGAAATTATGTTTATGTCGTTGTTTCTTCTTCGAGGGGAGGAAGAGGACGAGGAGGAGGAGGAGGAGGAGGAGAAGGGCAAGAAGGATCAGGGATGATCAGAAAAAAAAACTTGATACACCAACGATCAAGCAACATACGTCCGTCCGTCCGTCCGTTGCCCCCTCTTCACAAGCTCCTGCATCTGAGCCCGAGATCCTGGGCCCCAGTGGTCCCGATCCGCTCCGCGTGGTACGGGGCCAAGTCTTCGCCCCAGAGCCGTCTTGAGTGGTCTTGGGGGCCCCGAAAACCGTGTGGCGACGGACCGCGTGGTGACCTCGGAATCCCCAACGACGTCACCGCAGGGTCCGTCACCGCACTTGAGGACCTCGAAGACCCCGGTCGCTCGAGACATCCTCGAAAAGAACGACCTCAGTCCCAAAACCGCGCGGTGACCCCGAATCCCCACTGACTCACCACGCGTTGTGGTCACCACACCGTTCGGGGATCTCCGGGAGGAAGGGGGGCGCGACAAACGGAGGGGCGAAGAAAGGTGCAACTCTCGTGCAGCTTCGGAGACCACAATCGAAGAACAAGAACTGCATAGCCATCAACTTTCCAAACTCCGCGCGGACTTTTCGGGTTGGCGCTGGTCCCCCTGGCGGCGCCTGCGGCGCCGCCTCTGGCGCGCTCCGCGCGCCAGGGACAGGAGTCGCACAGGGCAGGGCTGTTGAGTAAACGCTCAAGGCCGTTTAGTAAACGCCACTTATCGGGTCTGGGTGGTTTTTGTTCCCCTTGAGTATATATATATATGTATGTATATATGTAATACATACATTCATTCATACATACATACATACATGCATACATACATACATACATACATACATACATACATACATACATACATACATACATACACATATAGATATATGCACATGTATACATATATACATATATACATATGTATACACAGTACACCCATCTTGTATAATATCGTTTCACGAGCGGTGTGGCCAAGACGCGCCCGCCACGACGCACATACTAAGATTTTTCGGTGCGCGCGTCGCCCCTGAGGGGGAGACGCAAACATTGTCTTAGAATGGTGCGGTGACGCCGATCCCCCTCTATCCCTCCACCCCCCCGTCAGAAATCATAGCAAACATCATCGTAGTCATCAACCCAATTCAAAACCGCTTCCATCGTCATCAGCGGCACCTGCATCGTCTCCGTTGTCGTCGAAGTCGCCGTTCTCATCGACGTCGTCGTTGCCATCGTCATCGTAGATACCATTATCGTCGAAGCCACCATCGTCATCATCGTCATCGTCGTCATCATCAACACCAGCACCACCCATCACCATCGGCATCGACATCTTCATCATAGTGTCGTCGTCTCCTTCCCACCCCTGTCCATCCTCGAAGTCGCAGACCCCGTCGCCGTTTGAGTCCAGCTCAGTGAACGCTGCATCGGCGGAGCTGTACGTGCCTCTCATGCGCTCCTCCGGCCGCACCCCTACGTTGAGGGGCCACATAGGCAGGAAATGGCAGGCGAGAAGCAGCCGCGGCGGCACCAGCATCGGTAGCAGCAACAACGGCACTCGTGTTCCGACCCTGCCTGGCTGGACCTCTGCCTTGCCCAGTGAGGCGTCGGATTCACGGCCTCCGTAAACGTAAACAAATTAAGGAATAGGAGCATCACGTTTAATGGGTGCTGATGATACGCGGCTCAGCTAGCACAGTAACCCCAACAACAACAGCATCAACAACAACAACAACAACAACAACAACAACAACAATTACTAGCACGTGGGGACACACCGTTCTCACCAGTGCCAGGGTTTTCATAGGAGGCGGGCAATACCCCCACTTTGTGGGGGGGCCGGTTCAAGCTCTACCAAATTTCCAAACGACTCTTCGCCACCACCCACACCCAGCTTCCCGCCCTATGACGTTCGGACACTTCACTTCGTGGCATGCGGACGACCGTGGCTACTATTCAGGGCCCCGCGGCCGACGACGACGGCGTGCGCGCGCGAAGAAAAAACGAATGTGTCCCGCATGGTATTATTTGACAGGGATGATGGCCCTGGCAGGTGCGCAACCGTTGTCGCAGAAGTTCGAAAAAGTTGCTCGCAAAAGCCCGTTTGACAGAAATGTTTAAAAAGTGTTGGGTTTCCTACGAATCCGCAAGAGCGCGCGGGATGAGATGTTGACAATTTTTTGTTGAAAAACCATTGGTTTTTTGATGTTTTTATGTTAAAATCGCTGCGAACACTAAGGTTTTGGAAGGATTTCGTCTTGCGCGCGCGAATGTCCACTTTACCTTATTTTTTGCAAGGGATTCTTGAAATTTGATTATATTAGAACAAGAAATGTCATTTTCTATTGTTTTTTGCAAGGGAAAGCGGATTACAACAAAACAACCGGATCCTGTACACACCCTCTTTTCTGAGGCTTCCTCACGAAAATGATGAAAATGTAGCTGCGGCCTAGGCGGCGCAGGGGGGGCGCGCACCAGGGGGCCCAACAATAATTATTTTTTAGAATAAATAATGTTCAACAACAACAGCAACAACAACAACAGCAACAACAACAAGAACAACAACATCATCAACAACAACCACCAGTATAAGACTGTTTGGTATTACTTGCCCACGTGTCATTCAAAACGAGTTCCCCACACCCTCGATACCCACCCTTTTTGTCTTCGATCACACCCCGTTTGGGGGGATGGTTTCTCTTTGCGGGGGGCGGCGGGCTTAGACAGGCGGGCAAACCTGAACGGGCGGACAATCCTTCGTGAGCGTACATGTGCCCGTCTTTGGAACTGGTGTTAGCCCTGCAAAAAGAGGAGGGGGAGAACGAGGGAATGTGGGAGGAAGGGAGGGGGAGGGACGAAGGAATAGGGAAAACGCCAGGAGAGAAGAAGCGAAGAGGGTGGCGGTTGATTAGAGGCAGAGAGGGAGAAAGACAAATGAGAGAGGTAGAGAAAGCGAGAGAGAGAGAGGGGAGAGAGAGAGAGAGAGAGAAAAAAAAAAAAAAAAAAAAAAAAAAAAAAAAAAAAAAAAAAAAAAAAAAAAGGAGGCAGGAGAGGGGAGGGAGAGGGGAGGAGGGAGAGGAGGGAGAGGGGATAGGGCAGAGAGGCAGAAGGATGAGGGAAGAGAGGAGGGAAAAGGGAACGGAGAGAGGAGGGAGGAGGGAAGAGGGAGACGGAGGAGAAGCAGGAAGGTAAGAGCGTGAAGGTTCGAGGAAGTCCTAAGCGAAAGCGCCGTTCCTGAAGGAAGTCTCGGGCGGGAGCCCACGACGGGCGGGCGATCCCCTGACGGGCGGGTCGGGCGGGTGGATCAAGCGCGATGCCTGAGTATGGCGAGAGCGCGATGACTAAGTAAATTGTAACGGCGTCCTTGGCGCAGCGTGTTTCCTGAGCGTCGAAAGCGCGATTTCTGCATGAATTGCATGGAAATCACAGGCGAGAGCGCAACTCCTGAATAAAATGTGAAGGGTTCTCTGGCGGGAACGGGGGTCTTGATGAAAGTACGAAGAAGTCTTAATTAAATTGCGAGGACGTCTCATGCGGGAGCGCCGTTCCTGAGTAAATTGTGAGGAAGTCTCAGATGGGAGCGGGGGTCCTGACTAAATTGCGAGGAAATCACAGGCGGGAGCACCGATCCTGAGTAAATTGTGAGGAAGACTAAGGAGCGGGGGTCCTGTGCAAATGCGGAGGAAGTCTCAGCGGAAGCTGTTCTTGTTGTAATCCGGGGGGCCAGGGGCCCAGTTTGAGCCTCAAGACCTTCCCTAATAAAACAGCGTGCGAACCCCGGGGAAGGCACTTCAATTGAAAAAATGTATGCACCGGTGGGGGGATCAACAATAATGATTCTTCAAAATTGAGAGTTCAACAGCAACCATATGTTTAAGACTGTTCGCTCTTATCTGCTCGGATGTCATGCAACGCGTATTTCCCAAACCCTCGATACCCGTCCTCCTCTTCTTCGATCGTACTCCCTTTGGGAGGTATACCTTTCTTCCCTGCAGGCCGGGCGGGGCGGCCGCGGACCGTCAGCCTGGCCAGCGGCAGCGCTGACCAGCGGCAGCCCGACCCCAAGAGGGACGGACAAGGGACCGACCACGACGACGACGAAGACGACGACAACGACGACGACGACGAGCGAGAGCGAGAGCGAGAGCGAGAGCGAGAGCGACAGCGGGACCACGAAGGGCAGTGATGGGCCCACGAAGGGCAGCAAGGGGGCCACGAAGGGTGACAGCGGGGCCACGAAGGGCATGCGTATGGCGCCACGTAGGGCGCGAACAAGCGGGGGCCACGAAGGGCAGATAGTGCGGGGCCACAGAGGGCAACGACGGGGCCATTGAGGATAGCAACGGGGCCCGTAGGGCAGCGACGGGGCCACACAGGGTGACAGCGGGAAGGCTGCAACGAGGCAACGAAGGGGGCTGTGAGGGAGTCCTAAGCGTGAGCGCGAATCCTGGGTGCCTGAGTGTCGAGAGCGCGGCGCTTGAGTAAATTGCATGGTTGTCCAACGCAACAGCTCGATGCTTGAGTAAATTGCAAGCAACTCTCCAGCGAGAGCGCGACTCCACAGCGCCGCGAGAGCGATTCCGGAATGAAAATAGGGAAGTCCCCAGCGACAGCGCGATTTCTGAATAAAACGCGAGGAGGTCTCAGGCGGGAGCGGGGGTCCTGGCTAAATTGCACGAAAGTCTCGGGCGGGAACCGTTGTTGTTGTAACCTGGGGGCCAACAACAGAATTTAACCCGAGTGGATTTCCACGATAAAAAGCAGGGTGCGAGCCCCGGGTGCAGCACTAAAAACACACACACACACACACACACACGCACACACACACACAATGGTCACCGTAGGAGGGGGATCAACAATAATTACTCTTCAGTCGTGAAGAGTTCAACAGCAACAACAATGACGCTCCCGTCCTGGTCCGGCGCCGCACGTTGCGCGCTCACTCCTCGGAGGAAGGACGCTCACTCTGGTCCCGTAGGCCGTAGGTCACCTGCTGGTAGGCACGATGTGGCAAGGACTCCTGCGACCCTGCGGAGGGCCCACTCGGACGGCGGCGAACCTCTGCGGACAAACGATCACTCGTGCCCCGTGCCGTACAGCATCCGTCGCGTTCTCCCCGCAGTGGGCGCGCCCAGCGCGCTGCCGCCTTCTCTGGCCCCGGAATCATGTCATTCGCCGCGGTGGCAGTAGCAGTAGGCCTAGTAACAGCACAAGTAGCAAGTAGGCCGCGTGTAGCAGTAGCAGCAGCTGTACGAAGTAGTAGCAATACCAGTAGCCGGCGCACTAGATTTCGTCGCAGTAGCAATGCGAATGATACGAGTGCCCTGGCCCGTAGTACTTGTAGCACTAGCAGTACCAGTGATACGAGCAGTAAGAAGAGTGGCACGAGTACGAGGAGCAGCAGCAGTAGCAGTAGTGCTACTAGCTGTAGCACGATCGGTGGCACACCTCACACTAACAGTAATGGTTGTACCGGTAGGTTTAGCACTAGGACCATTATTAATTCATAATGAAGAATAAACACAAAACACACAAGCATTAGCATTAGTACGGGTAGCAGTTGCAATAATGATAGATATAAGAATCGCAATCATATTACGAGCTGTAACAACAACATATGGATTAGTTCCAGCAGGAATGCACATAGCTCTTCGTGCAAATGACAGTCGTACGAGTTCACCTTCTCAGTCGCAGCTCCGCAGGAAAAGTCGCACTCAAACATGCAATAGTGGTAGGACTAGAGAAAGCAAGCAGCAGTCGTACTTCTTGTAGTAGCACTGGTAGAAGTACGAATAGCAATGTCTGGGAGTAGTAGTAATAGTCTTTCTCGTAGTACTAGTAACAATGACAGTAGTAGTAGTAGTAGTAGTAGTAGTAGCAGCACTAGTAGTAGTAGTAGTAGTAGTAGTAGTAGTAGTAGTAGTAGTAGTCGTAGTAGTAGCAGTAGTAGTAGTAGTAGTAGTAGTAGTAGCAGTAGTAGTAGTAGTAGTAGTAGTAGTCGCAGTCGCAGTCGCAGTAGAAGTAGCAGTAGCAGTAGTAGTAGTAGTAGTAGTAGTTGTAGTAGTAGTAGTAGTCGTAGTAGTAGTAGTAGTAGTAGTAGTAGTCGAAGTAGTAGTAGCAGTAGTTGTTGTTAGAGCAATAGCAGTAGTGGTAGTAGTTGTATTAGTGGTAGTAGCAGATGTAGTAATAGAAAAAGTAATCGTAGTCGTAGTCGTAGTCGTAGCAGCAGTAGCAGTAGCAGTAGCAGTAGCAGTAGCAGCAGCAGTAGCAGTAGTAGTGGTGGAAGTAGTATTAGTAGTAGCAGCCGTAATATCAGTAATGGTACTGTTGCAGTAGTAGTAGTAGTTGTTGTAGTAGTAGTAGTAGTAGCAGTAGTAGTAGTAGGAGCAGTAGCAGTAGCAGTAGCAGTAGCAGTAGTAGTAGTAGTAGTAGAAGAAGTAGGCATCGCATTAACAATAG